CACCTATGAAGTTTACGGAGAATATAAAACTTATTCATATGCCAATGTATACAATCCTGTATTTATGTACTTTGATATAAATCAGATTAATTATATACGTATGGGATTGCAACATATATTTGATAGACACAAAGAACATTGGGGATTTACCGAAAATGACCATTGGAATAATCAAAACAAGGAGAAACTTCAGAGAACCCTTCAAGAGTTTATTCACAGAAACATAAACAATGTTTATAGTGAAACCTATAGGAATCAAGATGCGTACTTTATAGTTGACTCTGTATCTCATAACGGTGTTATAATTTACCGTGGAGGAGATAAAGATTATCAACTATGGTCTGGATGGAAACTGAGTGATACTCAATACAACCAAGTAACACAACCACCATTCAAATTATGTGCAGTCGTACTTACAGTATATGAAGACATCCTTGATGGAATTGCCAACTCGGAAGTTGAAAGGGATGATTTACTTAAACGATTTTTAAAAGTTTACTTGCATGATAAAAACAGTTATAGTGATGAAGTATATAACCAAATTGCAGATTTTTTTGAACTGGCTGAAAGTTACATTCCATTATCGTTTGAAGGAAGAGATGAAGTGACACCAGAAGACAATTATGAACTTGACTACGAAAAAATAAAGAAGAAGGCAAAAGATATTTTGGGGGCACTTGAAAAATTAGCAATTTGAACAAAGACAATTTTTTTACTAATTGTTCATTAAATTTATATTTTAAGCATTAGGCCTTAATTTGTGTATAAGGAGAATCGCAAATAAAAAATTATCGGGAATATTGAGTTACATTTTTCGTTATTTATTTCGCAATTGATTAATTTACGGTTTGAATGAGGTGCGATTGCGCAATTGTTTAATGATTGATTTGGCAACTTGATTTCTTACCCACACATCCTGCGATTGCTACATGTTTTTATACATTTAAAACCTAGCATCAACGATCCATGGCATTGGTTCTTTACATCTCGTACTAAATCAAGGCAATAAATCATAATACATGGCGATTTATGTCGATTATTGTGCATCGGGTGATTGTTCACCTATAAAATCATGTGCATGTATCGTCGATAGTTTACAATTTCCACATATCACTTGATATTTTGTTTGTTACTTGATTTAGATGAATAAGGGCCTATTTCAGAATAAATAGCGCTTCTGACCCTGCATCTCGAATACACATCACGAGCAATGAGAACGTGCGATGTAAAAAATCAGATTATCATGACTCAGAGAGTCGCCCTACAGGCTGATCATGCTTTATACGTCAATTAAAAAACTCATCAGATTAATTTATTTCTTATGACTGCATCTGGCAACTTTTCTTTTTACTTTGCGACACCGCTTCGGGTGTATAATAGCCACAGTCTTATACACATGCTTATCTTCCGATTCTGAACTAGATGTGTGCCAGCTTTCAGCTGAATCACTATCAGAAGGATCGGATTCAGATACTAAAACAGTTTTGATGATCTTGGCCTTTCCATTTTTCTTTTTTTTCGGTACAATGTTGGGATTTGTGGAGATCGGAAGAAAGGGGATCTATTGCAGTTTTAATTGCACATTCAATATCTTTTGCAGATAGATAGCGAGAAGAGTTATCCCTAACGGACCTGAAATTGCTGGAAGCAGTTACTTTATGGTTAGATAAGTCATTTTTACTAGAGCTCTCTTTGCTAAAATCTTTTTCAATTAATAGGATACTCATACCATCTATTACAATTTTAGCAAGAGGGTCAAAATTTCCTTTATGAGATAATTTAAAGCTCGGATGTTGGATTCTTGCGAATTTCAAAGTCTATTGCATCAGTACCATCCAAACTTGCCATTTTCCTTTATGGTGAAATTGTAAATCTAAGCAATTTATTTTACCTATCGCATCTCCATAAAGATTCTTAACAAAGCTACAGGTAGGGTGCATTCCATGATCTGATTTAAGTTTATCGAACAAGCTCTTGTTAATGGTATTAAACTTCGATGATGTATCTACAGTGGCGATCATAAATAATGGAGCAAAAAATAAAATTTGGTTAGATCGCATTTTCTCTCGCAATTTCATGTGTATCTGTTAGCTTTTTTTTTTTATTTTATTCGTCAATGGCATCTTTTTTCAATATTATAATTTTAATCACTGTTGTTATTGCCAATGTAAAAGATATCACAAAACACGTGATGCATTACTTTTGATCGTTTATAGTAAGGATCAGATATGCACTTATTGTATCACATAACGACACATAAAATGCATTACAGAGCTTCCGATGAAGTTTTTTTTTTTAAAAAAAATGTACAACCACAAACCACAGTACAATAATGCCTAAGTTTTTTTTTTGCCGTAAAAGTGGTATACCACTAAGTTGATAGGTTGGGTGTATAATATTGACTTCTTTATGGCTTTTTTTTTGTTTGTAAAAGTGGTTGGATATCACACTTATGAAGAATTAATAAAGTTTAGTTGCCTACTTGTCAAGGGCGGGAAAAACCAGACAAGGATATTAAATTGAAAACTTTTCACTTGTCACTTAATTGCTGTTTAAGTACAGTTTTATCTGAAAAAAAATAAAGATATTTATGTTTCAATAGCTAATTATTCTTTCTATACTTAAAAACTATAGTTTAGTATCAAGAATTAAATAAAAAAAACTCTATCGACATAAATACAAGTAAAAAGGTTGGCTTGAACTCTCAAAAACGCATGAAAATCAGTTCATAAAAGCTAATTCTAGGTAATTTAATTTAATGAATCAAATTTTTAAAGTTTTTTGATCAAAATGTTTTGGGAAGTTATTTAAATAGCTTTTAAATTAAACTTAAATAGAATTTTTGTGGAATTTATAATAATATATAATGTTGCATTATATTTAATTATGCTAAGGCCTTAGCAAGCTCAACTGCACAATGAATAATAAGTTTTGTTAACGGATTTTTTGTGAGAATTTACAAATACCATCAGAGATTATGAATATGATATTTGCATAATTATTT